TAACATAGTTCTTGGAAAGAAAGAAAGAAAGAAAGAAAGGGGAAAAGAACTGGCGACTCATCGACGCTGTCGTAACGGTGCCGCGTCTCTCTACCGCCCGCAGGTTAAGGGTATCGGCCAGCAGGACACGCGCGAGAACTGCTGGAAGTTCTTCATCAACCGCGTGCGCAGCATGCTGAAGACGGTGCTCTGCTTCTCCCCGGTCGGCGCCACGCTGCGGACGCGCTCGCGCAAGTTCCCCGCCATCACCAACTGCACGGCCATCAACTGGTTCAACGAGTGGCCGTACGAGGCGCTGCAGTCCGTGTCGCTGCGCTTCCTCTCCGAGCTCGAGGCGCTGCCGGAGAACCTGCGCAAGTCCGTGTCCGAGTTCATGTCCTTCGTGCACGCGTCCGTCAACGAGATGTCGCAGGTGAGTGGTGTTGGTGGCCGGCGGCCCCCACCGGGACTCGGCACATGAGCGCCGACGACTCACCCCTCTCGTGACCCTCAGGCGTACCTGTTGAACGAGCGGCGCTACAACTACACGACCCCCAAGTCGTTCCTCGAGCAGATCGAGCTGTACGGGAAGCTGCTCACAAACAAGTCCAACGAGCTGTCCACCAAGATCGTGCGCCTGCAGAACGGGCTGGAGAAGCTTGCGAGCTGCGGTGAGCAGGTGGACGGCCTCAAGGAGATTCTGGCCGTGCAGGAGGTCGAGGTGCGCCAGAAGAACGCGGCCGCCGACGAACTCATCGTGGTCGTCAGCAAGGAGACGGAGAAGGTGTCCAAGGAGAAAGCCATCGCGGCCGAGGAGGAGCGCAAGGTCATGGAGAAGGAGGAGGAGGTCTCGGCGCAAAAGAAAGTCTGCGAACTGGACCTCAAGGCCGCCGAGCCCGCCCTCATAGCCGCATCAGAAGCGCTCAACACGCTCAACAAGGTACTGTGCTGTGCTGATCGACTGATCCTGGTATCTCTGTATGCGGACCGTTCTGTATTGTTTGCATCATAGCCCTTCGAATGACTGACTTATCTACTCCTCCTAGAACAACCTGACGGAGCTGAAGGCGCTGGCCTCCCCGCCCACGGCCGTCACTCAGGTCCTCGCCGCGGCCATGGTGCTGCTCTCCCCTAAGGGCAAGGTGCCTAAGGAGCGCGGCTGGAAGGAGGCCAAGGCCTTCATGGGCAAGGTGGACACGTTCCTCGACAACCTGATGCACTACGACAAGGAGAACATACACCCGGACGTTGTGAAGGCCATCAAGCCCTACCTGAATAACAAGGAGTTCGTCCCCGAGCTCATCCGCACCAAGTCTACGGCGGCCGCAGGTGGGCTTATAGGGGAGGGTCTCGTGGTGCCCGATGGGGCCCCGGTCAGCAGGGCTGAGCAAGTTTTGTTGCAGGCCTGTGTGCATGGTGCATCAACATCATGGCGTTCCACGACGTGTACGTCCACGTGGAGCCCAAGCGTCGCGCCCTCAACGAGAAGAACGCGGAGTGGATGGCCGCCAGGCAGAAGCTGGCCGACCTCAAGAGCAAGCTGGAGGTGCTGGAGGGCGAGCTGGCCCTACTCACCGACAAGTTCGAGGTGGCCGTGGCCGAGAAGCTCAAGTGTCAAGAGGAGGCCGACTCCACTGCCGAGACCATCGACCTGGCTAACCGACTCGTGACCGGCCTCGGCTCGGAGAGCGTCCGCTGGCAAGAGTCCATCGCCAAGTAAGTGGAAGCTGCAGCAGATTTTTAAAATTCTTTTTAATATTTCCAGTTATTTCAACCTAATCGTCCTTGGTGTCTGTAGTTTCCAGAAGCAGGGCACCACGCTTCCCGGCGACATGCTTCTCGTGACAGCTTTCATTTCCTACGTCGGTGGGTTCACGCGCAGCTATAGGATAGACTTGCAGGAGAAAAAGTGGCGCCCCTTCCTCAAAACTCTAAATGTAAGTCATCAATTCCTCTCCTCTTCGTGCACAACTTGTCCCTGCCCTACCCGTGTCACCCCTGGCTGACGCTGACGCTGACGCTGCCGCAGCCCGCCATCCCGCTGACCGAGGACTTGGACCCGCTGTCGATGCTGACGGACGACGCGCAGGTGGCCGCGTGGAACAACGAGGGGCTTCCCAACGACTCCATGTCCATCGAGAACGCGACCATCATCATGAACTCTGCGCGCTGGCCACTCCTCATCGACCCGCAGCTGCAGGGCATAAAGTGGATCAAGAACCGCTACGGCAAGCACCTCAAGGTGGTGCGCCTGGGGCAGAAGTCGTACCTGGACGTGATCGAGCGCGCCATCAGCCGAGGCAAGACCGTGCTCATCGAGTTCATCGGGGAGGCCATGGACGCCGTGCTCGAGCCGCTGCTGAGTCGGGCGCTCATCAACAAGGGCAGGTGGGTTGGGTTGCCTGGGTCGCGCTCATTGGCTGCCATCCAGGCCGACCAGAGGATGTACCTTCCCAAATTACTCACCGACCGGTATCAACTTTGGTATCGCCGAAGACGTAGTTTTTCTCGATTTTTTAAAGAATAAT